AAAAAAAAAAAAAAAAAGAGAGATTCTGAATTCATTAATTCAACAAATATTTAAGGAACACCTACTATGTCCCAAAATAAGCTCAACTTTTCACAAAACTTTCACACTCTAGGGGAACCCACTTAATAGAGTTTCATATTCCTCACAGAGAATACAATAAAACCTAACCAATTAGGCAACTCCTCACATGGAGAGAAATCCAAACACATCCTCCAAAAAAATTATAAACATTTATTGAGCCGTTGAGCTCCAGTGTGACTTTACTTTAAAAACCAACTATCAAAGTACTACTTGGGACTGTTGCTATTACTAAATCAGACAACAAACATTTGTTGTTTAAGGAAGGAGAATAATTCAAATAGTCTTTGCCCCAAGGACCACACTACATCCCTGGTAGGCTTTGTTTTGACCTATTGTGTGTGCTATGTACACAAAATTCCCGAAATCACTGGTCTCAATGAACCAAGACAGTTCTACTCATTTTTAAAATGCAGTAAACCTAAATTATCAAAATGAATCTGCACACATCCCATCTGAGGTTACAGGTATGTGCACTCATACATATGAACACATTCCTGGTGGGTGGGAGGGAGCTTACTCTAAAGCAGTTCCCAGGGGAGCAACATCACAATTGAGTTGTATTCCTGATGAGGGCTTTAACTCCAAAGGTGTGAAGTTTGAAGTTAAATTAAACTTCAAACAGTCCCCAGAATCACTGAGTTACATTGTAAAATAAATAGCTATAAATTTTAAATGTTATAATTGTGGTTCAGGTCCTATTTTACTTTTTCCAGATACTTGGTTAGTTTTGTCCCAGCTCGCTTTTGTATTGGAGCAGAGAAGAGCAGTGAGCTGTGAGCTATTTACTCTGTCCTATTTTTGTCACTGCTGTTGATATTTCTTGCACATGATCAGGATGGAACCATGAGCAGCCTACATTAGGGTCAGACCAGAGGGAAGGGGGGAAGATCCAATTTAGGCTGCCCCCCCCTTAGCTCTTCCAAGTCTAGGGACTCCCCTTTCTTTATTCCTTCCTCCCAAACTAACCCTGTAGGCATATCCACTCCAAGGACACCAGGAAACCACCCACCAGGTCCCAAAGAAATACGCCCTGCCTAATGGCATATGTCTTAGCCACAGATGGGCCTGGCCCCTTCCTAGGAGAAGCCAACATGAAACAACTTTGGATTGAAAGTTGAGGCAACACAGTCCCAAGCAGACTTGCAGAATATATTAGGAAAAGGCCCAGAACATCCTCCAGCCCTGCCAAGGTTACTAGGCCATCAGTGGACTGAGAATCCCTCTCCCATGCTGCCCCATTCCTGGCCTGGTGGAAGAATAGTCTAATGGCAATATCTCTGGGTCAGCTAAGACTTCCCAGGCCCCTGGCCTCAGGGAAAAGGCTCCAGGACCTGCCTCCCAGACACACAGCCTTCACATCTGGACTGGACCCTCCCTCTGGGGAAAGGCAGAGCACTCACCATTAAATGTTCCCCAAATGCCAGCTCTCAGAGCTAATCCCCCAAACCCAACAAGCAAAGCCACCTGTCAAAAAAACACTCCGCCCATAGCAAACATCAGCCTGAAATACAAGGCCACTAAGGAGATTACTATCCAAGGACAAGGGGGTCGGACAGCTGAGCTCAGATAAGGTCAGGCTCTCGTAGGGCTACAGGCTCCTTTCTTTGAAGTCCCACAACACTTTACTTATTTGGTACCAACTGCTTGTAAGTGAACTGCCAGTTAGCTAAAACACATCCTTAAGTGTCAACACTTGATTTAAGCCAGTCTGGATGCCAGCTTCCTCAATTGTATGCCACGCTCTCTTCCTATCTCTTTTGAACATAGACAAGACAGCACAATCTCCCCTGTTGTGGGGGATCAGGTAAGCATCATCCCCACTGTGGCACCTGGCAGAGAAGATGCACAGAACCACTGGCTGGCCAGAGCCAAGTCCACTCCTGAGCCTGAGATAACACCATGGAAGACAGCAATGGATGCCTCTCTCCTTCACTACAGGTGCCCCACCTGCTGTGAGGCTGCGCTTTTTCCCTGGAGTATATGGAATACAGCTGAAATCAATGATGTGCAATAGTTTTCTCAGGCCAGGACTGGAGGAGAGATAAGTTGGCATCCTGTTTTCTCACTTAACACCCTGCCGGGGTGCTGACTTGAACGATGAACCCTGGCCCTGGCCCCCCCAAGCCTCTCCTTCTGCATGGATCTGCTCCAAATCACTCCCCATGCAGTTAGTCACCAACACACAGCTGTCTCTGCAGCACCCCTATGCATTCAAAGCCCAGACTCCAGAGGCTGAACGTGAAGCAGGGCAGTGTGACAGGAAAGGCAGCCCTGGACAGAAATCAGAGGGCATCCTGGGGGGAGACAGGACCACAAGTCTCTCTGCCTGGCTTCAGGACAGAGCCTGGGGCTTCATTCCCACTGTGAGTGGGAAACAAGGGGACGGCAGGGCCAGGCTGAGCAGACCCGCCTGCAGTTACTGATGACTTTGAGAAGGCCCAGCAAGTCACATCAGGAGACAGGAGTCCCTGGTTCCCTTCCACAGCCTGTCAGCCTACCTACTCAACCTTTCCCTGCCTGACCTTGAACAAATTATGCAAGCTCCGCTCCAGCTGAGGAATGAAAATCCAGCCCATACTGGAAGCTCAAAGGGGAAGGATAGTGTATCTATCACCCAGCATAGCCTGCATATCACTTACGTAACCTCTGTCGCCCGGGGTATAGGACCGATCTCGCCTTGTCTCATCAGCTGCGTGGCAGCAACAGCTGCTCTGCTCACAGTGCCCTCACCCATCCCCCCCACACCTACCCCTAAATCACATCCTTAAACTAAAAACATCCCAGAGCCTGTTATGTATAAATTTATCTACAACATGAAAAAAGCTATGTATACAAAGATGCTAAGGCCTGACACACAGTGGACACCTAATATAAATGTCTGTTTGATGAGCAAATGAGCAGGGAGCAGAAAATTATTATCATAAAAGGGGCAGGAGAGTGGAAACTTAGTGTCTAACAATAGGGACTAACTATATTACAATGTAACCAGAAAGCTGGAATACCCTCTGCAGGGTGACAGCAGCACCACCCAGGTCCCACTAGCACCTCCCACTTCAGCTCAAGAGTGTCTCCAAGGGCCAGGCATAGCAGTCTGGGAAGCCCAAGTAGGTGGACTGCCTGAGCTTGGAAGTTCGAGACCAGCTTGAGCAAGAGCGAAACCTTCAATCCCCCAACCCCCACCACCACCATCTCTACCAAAAAAAAAAATGGAAAAACTAGCTGGGCGTTGTGGCCGGCGCCTATAGTCTCAGCTACTCAAGAGGCTGAGGCAAGAGAATCACTTGAGCCCAGGAGTTTGAGGTTGCTGTGAGCTATGATGCCACAGCACTCTACCTAGGGCAACAGAGTGAAACTCTGTCTTTAAAAAAAAAAAAAAAGTGCCTTCAGCTATAAAGCCTGGCTGCTCCTAACCTCCAAACCAAGCATGGACTTTTTTTTAAGGGCCACAGGGAGCCACCGCAGAGTGACCGACATCTGTGTTTAGGAAGCTCACTTTACCAGCTCACTTTACCGGCAAAACTGTAAATGCCTATATTCATTGTAGGGAGGGTGTGGAAAACATCCACTCTCGTGTCGCGCACACCAAGTGGGAGTACCACAGGTACACTCTTTTTGAAGAGTAACTGCTGGGCAAGCAAACCAGTATTAACTCAAGCAGCACATTCCACTTCTCAGAACCCACCCCATAGTAGTACCACAAGGTACCCAAAGATATATACCCAGGATGATCACTGCAGTACCCTTTGTGAAGCATCTGTAAAACAAAACCCAGAAGCAACCTAAAGGTCCATCAATAAGGAAATGA